TATATAAAAATATATCTGGTATATATACCTTTTTCCCCCTACCCCTTTTTTTAGTGTCATGTATCATGCGCCCCTGGGTAGTTCTGCCACTGTCTCCAAGCTAATGTATCACTGGGACTACAAATCCCAATGATACATTATATAGCAATGCAGAATACCACCAACTATTGAGGACTACAAATCTTAGCAATACATTATACAGCAATGCAGAATAATGCCATTATCTAGAGAGAACTACAAATCCCAGTGATACATTATACAGTAATGCCGAATGCCAACCAGCTATAGTGGACTACAGATCCCAGCGATGCATTATACATCAGTGTAGAATAATATGAAACTACATACTCTGTGCTTATATAAAAATATATCTGGTATATATACCTTTTTCCCCCTACCCCTTTTTTTAGTGTCATGTATCATGCGCCCCTGGGTAGTTCTGCCACTGTCTCCAAGCTAATGTATCACTGGGACTACAAATCCCAATGATACATTATATAGCAATGCAGAATACCACCAACTATTGAGGACTACAAATCTTAGCAATACATTATACAGCAATGCAGAATAATGCCATTATCTAGAGAGAACTACAAATCCCAGTGATACATTATACAGTAATGCCGAATGCCAACCAGCTATAGTGGACTACAGATCCCAGCGATGCATTATACATCAGTGTAGAATAATATGAAACTACATACTCTGTGCTGCTCTGGGGTGCCGGCCTGATATCTCGAGTGGAGGATTTCAGGTGGCTGTGTGGGGTCTCAGGAGGTATGTGCAGGTTCTTTGGTGGGCTGTGCAGGCCCTCAGGTGAGCTGTGCAGGTTTTATCGTGGGCTGCGGGGACTCTCAGGTGGACTATGCGGGGTCTATAGTGGGCTGTGCGGACTCTTAGGTGGCTGTGCGGGATCTTTAGTGGGCTGCGTGGGCTCCCAGATGCCTGTCCAGGTTTTATGGTGGGCTATGTGAACTCTCAGGTGGTTGTGCCGGTTCTTTGGTGGGCTGTGCGGTCACTTTGGGGGGCTTTGCGGACTCTATGGTGGGTTGTGCGGATTCTCAGGTGGCTGTGCAGGTTCTATGGTGGGCTGTGCGAACTCTCAGGTGACTGTGCACGTTCTATGGTGTGGGGATAATGGTCGTCTGTGCGGCTCTCAGGTGGCTGTGCGGGGTTAATAGTGGTCTGTGCGGCTCCCAGGTGGTTGTGCAGGTTTTATGGTGGCTGTGTGACTCTCAGCTGGCTGTGCGGGCTCTATGCTAGGCTCTGTGGGGTTAATGGGGTTTACACCCCAAGCCTAACTCATCCTGTGTTGGGAACCAGTCTCACTGCAGCATTCACCACTGAGATCCCTGTGCCAAAGAAAACGGATTTGAAAAGCATCTTACCAACAGACTCTTGGATAAGCTGTCGCCTGCACAGAGTGGTATTGGTCTGGAAGTCCCACACTGTTACACTGTAGGGATTAAGAGGGAACAGATTGACATCTTCCTGCGGAAACTGACACAGGTGCCACCAGGTATCTTCTGAGGCATTTAGTGTTGTTAAACTGCACGGCTCCCTGTGGGAACAAACAAGGATCTTGTCATATTGCAATTTTATTGTCTATATTACATTATGAATATGGCATTGCAGTGCGTTCACCTTCTATCGGGTCACATTGAACAGTGAATGCAAACTCTATTACAAAATAGTACACAGTCTACTCAGCTCCTACTGGGTCAAAGTGTAGAGTAGAATGGACTCGGACTCGGACTCGGCCACAGTGCATTGTGTATCCACTTTGTACTGGACCACAGTGCACAGGGTTTTTCCCTTCTATTGGGTCATAATGATGTATCCACCTTTTGTTGGACCACAGTGCCCATTACATCCAACTCCTAATAGGCCATATTTCACAGCAGATGCACCTTCTATTAGGCTATAGTGCACAGTACATCCACTTTCTGTCAGGCCAAAGTGCACATTGTATTCAGCTCCTACTGGGGCATAGTAGATAAGGCTTTGCCTAGGCAATTATACACAGTGCATTCACCTTTTATTGGGCTATAGTGTACCTTCCCTCATTTGGGCAACAGTGCACAATGTATCCATCTTCTATTGGGCCACAGTACACAATATATCCACCTTCTTTTGGGTCAAAGTGCACAATGTACCCACCTTCTACTGTGTCATAGTTCAGAGTGTATTCACTCTCTACTGGGCCACAGTGCAAAGTATATCAACATCTATTACACAATAGTGCACAGTGCATCCACTTTGTATTGGACCATAGTGCACATCTAAACTCTATAGGGCAATAGTGCAAAGTCCATCGACATTTGCGCACAGTGCATACAGCTCCTACTGGGGTCATAGCACAGAGTAGATCAGACTTTGACTGGGCCTTGGTGCACAGTTAGACTTCAGTTTTGTACTCACTCTGGCTTGTAATAAAAGATGAATTTGGAGGCGTCGGATGTGTTGCTCTCCCAGAAACAAGTAAGATCCAAGAATTCCGTTATGAAGCAGGAAGGGTTCACAGTCCTGTTGTCAATGGCACTGTCCACTGGAAGTAAATAAATGAATAAATCAGTTTAGAAAGGAATGCCTTGCAGCGGGGAAGACCCAGCGACTGGTGACTGCTGATGTCTCTGCTTTGGGTGGAGTTGCTGTTTAACGCTTTTAAAATGCTTTGTGAATCAGATTTTAAAATGGAACCTGAAGTACGGAAGCCGCCATTGCTGACTAGCATTTTGAGGGTGAAGACGTGAAGTGCAAAAAAACAATGGAGGACCAAAAGGACAGATCAATACCATGATAATGATAATCAAGTGTGAAGACGTTCTACATTTAAAAATGGTTAACATAAAAAAATTAACTAACAAACCATATACTGTAACGCTGGTGGAGGTGCGTCCATTGCTTGTCTTTTATTCATATGGTTTAAACATTTGATACCAAATCCCACCACAACTGATTGTACAACTTTCTAAGTGAATATTAATTGTAGCTTACTGAACCTTGTGCCATGTAACATAGTAATGAAGGTTAGAGCGGATCTACATGCCTGGGATCCCTATTTCCCATGAGATCTCTTGACCAGGACTATCTGCCTCTGTCCATAGACACAAGATAGATACCCAATTCCACCAAAACAATTGCACAACTCTCACCATACGTCTAAGGGAACATTTATTGTTGCCTACTGAACCTTGTGTTATGTAATATAGTAATAGACTGTTAGAGCGAACCTACGCTACTGGGATCCCTATTTTTAATGAGATCTCTTGGCCAGCACTGTTTGACTCTGTCCATAGACACAAGCTAGATACCCAATTCCACCAAAACAATTGCGCAACTGTCACCATATGACTAAGGGAACATTTATTGTTGCCTACTGAACCTTGTATTATGTAATATAGTAATGGAAGATTGCACGAGGAGGAAGTTCATGCCATATATGTACATGTGTCACCAGAACACGCTGTATATAAACAATAGGCATGGCCCTCGCAGCCCTCCCCTCGCCGAGCGTCTGGTGTGCCTGATAAGAAACTGCCGTCCCAGGACACGCTCGTTGCCACATTAAAAATATGTTTTTCTGACTTTGTTTCAAAAGTTCTTGTTTTTTATTTAACTGAAATCTGTCACGTCTGATTCAGAATTGTACATTTACATTCCAGGTTTTTTTACTCATTTAAATAGCAATGTCAACCATCAGCCCCTAACGCAGAGAAGCTCAGAGTCTTATGCCCTGACCACAGTCCTACAGACTCTATGACTACCCTCAGTCGGAGATCAACAAACCTACTGTATAAGAATGTTATTTTGGTTGTGGGGCAAACTGGAGCAACCCAGATGAAAACCACACAACGTGTAGGAAGAACATACACTGTAGTCAAAATAACTCAGTCCCGGACCCCAGGGCTGCCGGGCCCCATGGCTGACTACTAAACAACCATGCTGCCCAATGGAAATGCAAATCCAGTATCATGCTATAAAATAGGGAAACTGTATGAATGCTTAGTTACCCTCGTAAATGTCCAAGGCTAATGTGGAGAGAAGAGTAACCGGTATATGGGGAAGTCCCCGATGTTGTTCCCGAATGAGTACATCAGCTGTGCCTATTATGAGGGGTTTCCACTATTCCTGTAAGATCTTGTATTCATTTTACACAATGGCAAATGTAAGAGGAAGAGCTGAAGAACACATCAACTTGGACAAAAACACTCCTTGGTGGGCAGGATCACCCCAAACTCCAAGGTGAAAAGAGATGGGAGTTCAGGCAGGGAGATCTCGCTGTTGTAGTGTCCATATATTATAAAAAGCTGGAGGTTGACTCAGCCAACCAGGCCCCTCCTGCAGCCATAGTTATTTGGACCGATCCTTTAATATTCAGACTGAGAAACTGATAATATAAACTATATTGCTGTCACACTTAACAATATGATAACATTTTAGTGGCTGTCCGCTTCTGGAAAATATATAGAGCAGCAGTTGATTATACATGAGCATATGCTCAGATGCCTCCACAGCCAACACTAGAGGTAGAACAGAGGAACGTGATCATGATCTACGCCCTGGGAGTCAGAATGTCACTGAGAATTGAGAGAAAGTCACTAAAACAAATTACAATGTAGACTCATTTAGGAAATTGGCTTCTTGTAAATTGAAAAATGGGATAACACCAATGAGAGCCTTAGTAAGCCTTAAATGGTGACAATGTGTGGACCTAAGCATGTCCAATTACCTAAAAAGAACCACAAAACCTAAATATCGTAAGTTCTGCTATTTAAAGAAAATACAGGTTTGAAAGGTCAAGAGAACATTGACTCGTGTGCTAAATTGTAATAGTTCTGGGGGAGGAGCTTCACTGGTAAAGCTCTTAGACGTGGAAAGGTCCCTCTCGCAGCTCCAGTTCCAGTCCCCTCCGCTAAGGCCACTGCAGTGGGATTCCAGTCCCCCCTTTTTATGTTGAAGTTTATTCCTGTCGCACCATGTATGTTCATGCCTTCCTGTCAAAGTGTCACCTGGCCATAGTTCTCTATCAGCAACTGAGGGCTCCTACAGTAATGTGACCTCAGTAGGCAGGCTCCCATTTTCAACACTACAACATCAATATGGTTTTCGCTTTTTATTTTTGATTTGCATGACCTGTCACCCAAAGCTGCTTCTCTTCGCCATTCCATAGGTCATATGCACTCTGATATCATCACTTACAATGGAGGACCAGCAGCCATGTGTTGTAAGTGAGGTCACCCAAGGTCTACCCAGAACCCAAGGAATCAGAGAGAAATGAAGAGTGTCTAATTCTAGGGCAGTGATGGATAGGTTAAATAAAACTGCGTATTGCTCCCCCTAGAAAAAAAATGAGCATTTAACCCTTGCAGTACAGATGATCCCCACTATAAGGGTAACCTTTGGTTCTACCCGGAGTTCAGCTTCAAAAGAAGTGGTGTATTTAGATAATTTAAGCATGGTTGTTGGGGTAATGCTCGAGTGTGCCACAGGGTTTCCTGATTTAGTTTTGGGGTGACCAGACCTCATTACTGTCACAATGTCATGTGTCTGAAGAGAGCCCCAAGAGGTCAGAAATGGAAGGATGCCTCTCTTCTAGTCTGCCTAGTGGTTTTACCATGTGGCTTCCTTTGTAACCTGATTATGGCCCATCCTTTTGGGTTTTATTTAGGGCCTGGGCTGCACTGGCTCAATGTGTACCCAGCCTGAGCTAGGCCAGCCCTGGTCACTGCCAGTCTGGAAATATCTAACATGCAACAAGACCTCAGAGGAGGCCAAGGCAATCAATAGGTGAGTATCTGAGGGCCATCAGGCTTTTTTTCAAGTAGGAAGTCAAAGGGAAGAAGAAAAGAAAGTGACGTCATAACAGAACAGCAATAGAACTTTCTGTTCAATAAGGCCGCAGGGCTCGAAGTCAACAGGAAGATTTAAGTCCACTAACAACAATAGCTACAGGTAAGTCAACCTGGGCTCTCAGGTGCAGGATAGAAGGGGATTCAACCCAGCCGTCTCCACTTGTGTCAGTTTTAGGTGGACAAGATTAAACCTTAACTGAATTACATTTTAATAAAATCCTTCTATTCACCTGTTTTTATCCTTTGTTCTATCTCAGTGCTGTTAATTTCCTGCAACCTCTTTGCAGCCACTTTCTGTCTCCATGCACTCCAGAGATGGCTGAATGGCCTTTCTCAGGGTGGGTTTCCTGATGGTGACAACAGTGAACCATGCTTATGCAATGTGTGTTAAAATGTCCACTTGTAGCCTCCATCGGAAGCCTGTGTGACATGGTGTCAATGGTGGAACAGAAATGGAAGGAGTGAGCGTTGTCACCGTATAACAGGAAGTGCCTATATAAGGACCTTCATTTCGGGATCACCAGGGATTATTTGAACCAAAATGTCAAATTTTAAAATATTAAAATGACTTTTGAAATGACATTAACATGATAAAGCTTACATGAGATTTTAATGATTGGGTTTACACCTACTCTAAATAAAGAGCTCCATCAAATCCCTATCTTACTTTTGTCACAGATATTTATCTTAAAATGCCAGTCCTTGCACGCTTCTGGCAGCTGTGCGCTATTCTCCCAGGGTGGCAAGGAGACTCCTATGAGACGCCTATAGAGACTCCTATGAAGACTCCGTTGAAGACTCCTATGAAGACTCCTATGGGACTCCTATGAAGACTCCGTTGAAGACTGCTATGAAGACTCCTATGGGACTCCTATGAAGACTCCTATGCGATGCCTATGAAGACTCCTATGGGACTCCTATGAAGACTCATGTGATGCCTATGAAGACTCCTATGAAGACTCCTATGGGACTTCTATGAAGACTCATGCGATGCCTATGAAGACTCCTATGAAGACTCCTATGGGACTTCTATGAAGACTCCTATGGAACTCCTATGGAGACAGTTGGGGAGACTCCTAGAACTCCTGTCAGGTTTTACTGCAGTTTGTGGCTGAGACTCCTGTGGGATTTCTATGGAGACTCCTATGAAGACTTCTTAGGAAGACTCTAATGGGACTCCTATGGGATACTCCTAGAACTCCTGTCAGGTTTTACTATAGTCTGCGGCTCCATTGGAGAAATTCTGTCACTTCCCGTCTGGTGAAAAGGCTGTGCCCCCGAACAGGAAGTGAGAATAAATCTTTCTAACAGCAACACAGACAGAAGTAAGAATGTATTTTGTAAAGTTAAATAGGGGAATGCTTTTTATTGTTGATTCACATGTATAAAATCTAATGAGAGTGCCAAACGAACAGTCATAGAGTGCACAAATCATCAATAACAGTATTGGCTGCACTAACACAAATGACAACACAGAACATCCAACACATTTCAGGCACTATAAGACTTCCTGCTTCCTCATTGCTCAAACATACCGAACAATAATAAGGACTCAGTGCTGGCACAAATCCCAAAGAATGTATTATTTCCTGTATGGAGTATAGCCAGAAACAGTGAAACCACAAAAGTGTTGTTTGTATGGTGCTCTCATTACACTTTATACATGCAGATCTTCAATTCTGGGCCCCCTTTTCCGAGGGACACCGTGCTTTGTTGAGAGGGACCTGTCACCATCTGACCAGTCTTCTGATCATTTGAATCTGGTGCTTGTTGCAGCTTTTATTGTTGTCTTTGCTGCAGATTTTCCTTTGCTTCCCGTCTGGTAAAACGTTGTTCCCATAACAGTAAGTGAGAGGAAATCTATCCAACGGGGAGCAGCGAAACCAACCTTTCCCTATTCTATCCAAACCAAAATGAAAAGTCTGGGCTATTGTTACACTTTAAGGCAAAAGGTTTATAACATGGTCCCCAAATTTATCACATGATCACATAAACAGCAGCAAAACAAAGTAAAAGGTAAAAAAGTAAAAAGTTAGGAAGTTCTTACCTTTGCGGATAAATTCGGAGGTCAGGATAGGATCCTCAGCTCTGCAAAGCAGCATGCTCATGACCAGAAGTAGAGAGCCACCACAGAGGGCATTGGAATAGGTGGGCACCCGCGTACCCATGGTGCACAATGGCCTTTTCCAGCCTCTGCCTATGTGCTGCGGATGTATATGGAAGTCTGTATGGCAGATCTCAGTGTACCCTTCTCTCTGTGTCTCAGTGTTTCTCAATGTGTGTCACTCCCTATATCAGCGTCTGCACAGGCTGCCTCTGCTCTATCTCGCACCTATGCTGTATGCTGAGTTTACTTTCTCTCCTCTGCGATGCCAGATAAGACTCTCAGGGTTAGATGTGTTTGTGGGATTGGCATGAGGGGGAACAGCACGGTTTTCTTATCAGATGCTGCATTTATTTGGCACCGGCGTCTTATTGACATCAATTTATTGCAAAAAAAAAGGTGCCTCTGTGTTTTTTTTCTTCTGGGATGTTTTTGCTTTCAATCTACAGAACATTTTTATCTGTTTACTCGCGGGAACGTGTTCACTCCATCGCATCGCCACGTGCTTGTAACACTGCAAAACTGACAAAAGAAGTAAATCTAAAAAGAAAAACACTAAAAAAAAAAAAAGTAATGCTGTGGTTTTATTCCTTATTTTTGGAAAGCAGACATATACCCTTGTAGGGGCCCTTTAAAAATTTTTTTTTCAAAATTCTTTAATTAAAATGTGATTAACCCTACTACCCCCGCACTGCAAGGGTAAAGTGTAAGGGTAGCCCCACTGCAAGGGTTAATAACATTTTTGCCCGAAGTTCTTCTTTAACTTAGAATTATGTCTGCCTGTTTTAAAGGCTAGGATTTCTTTTAGGGATACACCGAGTACGGATACTTCTCCTCAGATACTCGCAGATAGCAGATACCAATACCTTTTCTTTAGTGTCACGTGACAGTTTTTCTAAAACAATACAAACTAATGATTTTAGGAAAGTTTCTTTATAATTATGAAGAACTGTAACTTAAAAGACATACAGCAATGCAGAATACCATCCGCTACAGAAGACTACAAATCCCAGCAATACATTATACAGCAATGCAGAATACCATCCGCTACAGAAGACTACAAATCCCAGCAATACATTATACAGCAATGCAGAATACCATCCGCTACAGAAGACTACAAATCCCAGCAATACATTATACAGCAATGCAGAATACCATCCGCTACAGAAGACTACAAATCCCAGCAATACATTATACAGCAATGCAGAATACCATCCGCTACAGAAGACTACAAATCCCAGCAATACATTATACAGCAATGCAGAATGGCACTGGCTATAGAGGACTACAAATCCCAGCAATATATTATAAAGCAATTCAGAATGGCACTGGCTATAGAGGACTACAAATCCCAGCAATATATTATAAAGCAATTCAGAATGGCACTGGCTATAGAGGACTACAAATCTCAGCAATACATTATACAGCAATGTAGAATACCATCAGCTATAGAGGACTACAAATTCCAGCAATACATTATATAGCAGTGTAAAATACCATCAGCTATAGAGGACTACAAATCTCAGCCATTCATTATACATTAATGCAGAATCATACCATAAACTATAGAGGGCTACAATTCCCAGCAATACATTATACCTCAATGCAGAATAATAACATCAGCTATAGAGGACTGCAAATCCCAGCAATACTCAAGCCCCTCTTGTAATAATTATAATGACACATGACACCCAATTCTCCCCAAATTTTCTCCAATAAGGGAAGTGCACTCACTGGTCTCCTCTGATCTGTGGTTTGAGCCTCAGCTGCAGGATGGAGAACCTCTGCAGCACCTTCTCTTGGCAGTGGTCTGTGGAGCAGGTCCTCAGTGAGCGCCTCCCCAGCAGGAGGGTAGCGGTGCCTCCCCAGCAGTGGGGAGCGGCTCGAGATGCAGTAGTTCCGCCAGTGGTGGGCCCCCTCCTGGCTGCGTCGCCATGTGCACTCGGGAACCGTCAGTCAGTGTCCGTCCGCCCCTGCTTCTAATGTTTAAGTTCTGCACCGGGCGCAGCATCTAAAAAATTTGCACCTGCCCCCCCACGATACATCTGTGCTCTGATGAGGCAACAATTGTAAGGGGGCACTCTGATGGGGAGAACTCAAATTTAGTTGCCCACGTCACCGTTTCCCCTTCTGTTAGTTGTCCACCATCAGGGTGCCCCATCAGGGGCACCCTGATGGAGACAATCAAACTAAGGGGGCCCTCTGATGGGGACAATGAATGTAAGGAGGCACTCTGATGGGGACAATCAATGTAAGGATGCACTCTGATGGGGACAATCAATGTAAGGAGGCACTCTGATGGGGGACAATCAGTGTAAGGAAGCACCCTGATGGGGACAATCAATGTAAGGAAGCACCTTGATGGGGACAATCAATGTAAGGAGGCACTCTGATGGGGACAATCAGTGTAAGGAAGCACCCTGATGGGGACAATCAATGTAAGGAGGCACTCTGATGGGGACAATCAATGTAAGGAGGCACTCTGATGGGGACAATCAATTTAAGGAGGCACTCTGATGGGCACAATCAAAGTAAGGGGGCCCTCTGATGGGGACAATCAATGTAAGGGGGCCATCTGATGGGGACAATGAATTTAAGGAGGCACTCTGATGGGCACAATAAAGTAAGGGGGCCCTCTGATGGGGACAATCAATGTAAGGGGGAACTCTGATGCGGAGAACTAATTATAAGTTCTCCCGATTAGAGTGTCCCATTAGACTGTTTGTCCCCTTTAGATTTAACTACTTTATTAGTAGGCCAGAGGTGGGTGCCGGCAGGTGGAGCAGACTGCAGGAGAGGAAAGAAGAAGATACTCTTCCATCCTTCGGTAACGCTGGGAGCGGGGAACATATTTGATGTCACTGGTTGCTAGGACCGTCTGTAGTCTGGTGGTAGCAACCAATGACTGCAGAGCAGGTGGACACTTGAGGTCATTGTTTGCTAGGATGCCAGCGCTCCTAGCAACCAACGACTGAAGAGGAGGGGACCTGCGCTGGGCTATGGCTTGCAGTGGATGCACCAGCCTTGGAGGCTTGCCAGCCATAACCGAGCGCAGGTCGGCGTTCAGGCCGTGTCCAGACCACAGGTTGGACAGGAACAGCCAACGGGCCGGATGTGGCCCTTGGGCAGTAAGGTGCCCAGGTCTGGATCAGGCATATCCAGTAAACATCAAGCCACATTCCATGCAAACATGCTTTTAATTATACAATTCTCCAGCACACATCAACAACCCATCAGGAAAAGAGGACAACATGAACACCACTTATCATTGCTGGACAACAAAACAAGCACGTAGTCCGTGGAGCAGGTCGGATGGACAACCCTAAAACACAGATATAAAGAGCAGACGGATCATAAGAAGAGATTTATTTCTAGATTCGCACCAAGGTGAAGCACCAACATTACGTTGATCTATGGAACAAGTAGCGTGCCAGAGAAATAAAAAAATGTTTTCTTTTTTATTTGCATTGTATAAATGTCAGAGATTCGGTAGAACCAAAATAGGAAATATTTGATGTTTCTGATGTCACAGAAACTGAGATTTGTTTAATATATATATATGTCAGAAGGATGTTGTGTTAACTAATCAGTAACACATTGGCCAACAGCCACACAAATCACAGATCATTTTCTTCTGTACAGAGACTTTGATATCTGCCAGATAACAGCGTCAATGTATGTGAGTCAGTCACAGAGCTGTAATAATGTCAGCACTTTCTTCAAGAATAAAGATTATAAACATCAAAACTCATCAATTCCGTCTTGGTATTTGCCGAGAATTCGGTGCAGGAAGTGTTTATCGAGCACCTGCTTGAAATACACTATAATGCCAAAATTATAAACCGGTGTGCTGCGCTTGTCTGTCATGTGACGTGGCCTACCACTTTGTGGCTGAGTTGCTGGTGTTGCCAGTTGCTTCCACTTTGTTATAATCCCACTAACAGGTGACCGTGGAATATTTAGTAGCAAGGAAATGTCATGGAACACCTGAAACCAATGATGTGGAGGGGTGTCCCAATACTTTTGGCAATATAGTGTATATAAAAAAAGAAGAGAGCGCACAGATCTGGTGCAATAATAAATATATATTTTTTACATCTTAGAGATAAAGAGCACATTTAAAGTCGTATTAAACTCTCAAACTTTTTTTTCAATAATGAATCCAGATCAAAGAAATATACATCACCCAGGAAAGTATTTCATTTACATTTCCAGTCATCATGTTTCTGAACAGCTCTAACTCTCTCATCTCGGCTTCCCTGAACTTCCTGGCCCAGTACAAGATCACAGGGGACAGGGCATCCTCCAGCAGACGCCCATCTACAAGCTTGGAGCTATTTCAAATGCTGATGAAATCACTTACAATGGACGCTGCTCCTTGATGTTTAAACATTTTAGCTTCCTGCAGAATCAGCTGGTCCCCTGAGCACTGGCCCTGATATCCTGTTTTAGGGTGGCTCCTTTCCCTTGTAGGATCCTATGGAGTCACCCTTGTGTATGCTAGTAAGCTGTGTGTGTCTCTGCTCCATTCTTTCCAATCCTTCCTGGACATCTGCTGGAGTCTGCTCTGTCCCTGGTGATCTTGTACTGGACAGGATGTTTTGAGAACCAGAGCTGAGAGAGTTGGAGCTGTTCGGAAACATGATGACTCTAAGTGCTTGTGCAAAAATGTAAAGCAATGCTTTGCTGGGCCATGTATATGTGTTTGATCTGGATTCATTATTGAGGAAAAGTAAGAGAGTTTAATTCTACTTCAAGCCCACACTCACATCTGCGCATTGTATGAATGCATGCCAAACGTGCACACAACTGCACGCTATAGTGCGTGTTGACAGAGGCACTGCAAAACAAGAAATGTGCTTGCGTTACCATTCATTTCTAATGGCACCCCAAATGAAGCCAGGAAGACACTTGTTTTTGCTCCACATTTGCGTACATTAAAACGTGGAAGCAAAATACATGGAATTTGCTACATGACCTTTTAGCTGCGTTTGCCGCGCATTCGGGCCCCATTGAGCTCAATGGGGATGCGTGGCAAACGCAGCACATGAATGTGCACGAGGACCCCGGAATGTGATGTGCATTCACGGAATTTGCAGGTGTGAGTGCGGAGTGACTCTAATGAGGTGTGTCCCACCCCCTGGGGTCGCTGCCCTTCCTTGACTATAGAGGATTTCACTGATGCCGGTAGGTGAAGCTTTCCTTATACTTCCAGCACTGAGACAAAACTGCTGCGGCTCTCCCACACACATGTCGTACTCCCCCCCCGGCCCCCCATCACAGAACACTATGAGGGGAATTTATCAAAACTGGAGCAGACAAAATCTGGAGCAGCTGTGCATGGCAACCAATCAGCTTCTCTCATTTTCAAATCTTAACTGACCAAACTGAAGAGAGAAGCTGATTGGTTGTCACGCACAGCTGCTCCAGATTTTGTCTGCTCTAGTTTTGATGAATTCCCCCCTATGTATTTTTGATCATTGTATTACTGAATACAAAGCCTTCTGTGATTGGACAAGAGGAGAGGAGGGGCGTCCAAACTACAGTGTGGCTTGTGTGTAGGAGAGCCGGAGCTCCCTTGTTGCAGCGCCAGATGTACAGCGAAAGCTTTCCCTGCATGAATAACATTGTAAGTAGTCCGGAGAGTGCAGTGATCGCGTGGCGGCGGGGGGGGGGGGGGGGGGGGGGGCAGAAAAGGGGTTGCCACCTTTTCTTAAGCGAAACCCGAACACTCTAGCGACTCATGGAAATGTTTTTAGGAGAATGATTCATGGCTTATTTATGTGTAACTAGGGCCACCCATTCAGATGTAAATATCACAGTTGAGATTATTTTCAGTGGGGGGCCAGTAGCCCCTATCTTAGTTTAGGTTGCCCCTGTCTGCCTGACATCTTGTGTCCGGTATTCAGCTGCCATGAAACCCGAACACAGCATTCAAAACCCGGACTGTTCGGGTCCATCCTGGACAGGTGGCAACCCTAGATGTACACCTCATCACAGGTAACAATGTGTTACCCAGCAGATCAAAAAATGAAATCCTGGAGGTCTCACGTCACCACAGCTGCTAGGTAACTACTACAGACATGGTGTGTGCTTAGATCAGGGGTGGGCAACCTCAGAACTACAAGTCCCATGAGGCATTGCAAGACTCTGACAGCCACAGGCATGACTCCCAGAGGCAAAGGGATGATGAGACATGTAGTATTAATACAGCTGGAGTGCCGCGGTTGCCCACCCTTGTTATAAAGTGTACCTGTCACTGTGAATACAGGTACAGGAATGGATGTAAAATCTATATACAGGATGAGATATGGCTGTGTGGACTGAATGAACTTGGTGTACACATCATCAACCTCCAGTAGTGCCGGCCCAGGAGAAGATCGAGATAAACAAACTCAATGTACTCTCTGCTCTTATCTACGAGAACACACACACGAAGGCTCACAGTCAATACTCCGCCACTGACACTGTTCCCGCCACTAACAAAGTGTGCTCACCCTGTGACAGTGTCCTATAGCTCCTTTTTTTTTTGCTGTAAAGGATAATGCATTGTTCCATGATACTTGTCAGGCTCACCACACACGTTCCAATCCGACTGTACAATCAACTTTAGAGTTACCAAAACTATGTAATATGAGGATCATTCTCACCCACTGATGTCTATGAAGCCCAATATCTCCCACTGAAGTCTATGGGGCCCGTTCTCGCCCACTGAAGTCTATGGGGCCCGTTCTCGCCCACTGAAGTCTATGGGGCCCGTTCTCGCCCACTGAAGTCTATGGGGCCCGTTCTCGCCCACTGAAGTCTATGGGGCCCGTTCTCGCCCACTGATGTCTATGGGGCCCGTTCTCGCCCACTGATGTCTATGGGGCTCATTCTCGCCCACTGATGTCTATGGGGCTCATTCTCTCCTACTAAAATCTATGGGCCTTAAACCATATAGATGTGTATGGACCCTCAGTGATTCAATATTCATTACAACATTTCTAAGTAAGGCCTGCCATATACATTAAGACTTCTCTCGTTCATCCCACAGGGAGCAATCACCGCATCCTGGCCAAACAGCGTCCTCTGATGGCTATCGTATTCAAGCAGCTGACGCCTGCAGATGCATCCATCTGATTGGCTACAGTCATCGTTCAGTGGGAGAGAATGGACCTCATAGACTTCAGTGGGAGAGAATGTGTCCCGCAGACTCCAGTGGGAGAGAATGGGCTCCATAGATATCAGTGGGGGAAGATGGGCCCCATAGACATCAGTGGGCGAGAATGGGCTCCATAGATATCAGTGGGAGAAGATGGGCCCCATAGACATCAGTGGGCGAGAATGGGCTCCATAGATATCAGTGGGAGAAGATGGGCCCCATAGACATCAGTGGGCGAGAATGGGCTCCATAGATATCAGTGGGAGAAGATGGGCCCCATAGACATCAGTGGGCGAGAATGGGCTCCATAGATATCAGTGGGAGAAGATGGGCCCCATAGACTTTAGCGATTCAGCGGGAGAAAATGGGCCCCATAAGATGTGTTATTGGTCTTGCTTATCATGATAATTGGTTGTCAGGTTCTTTATGATTATTATTTGTTGTTTTTCCTGAGTTCCGGCTTTCAGTCAACCAATGAAAAGCCTCGTCCCAGGATATAGGACAATAAATATTGTAACTAGTGCACCGGTATACACCGCATGTGTGCAGACGGGCGTTGTGTCAATGAGGTCTGATATCTTCTTTGGTAAGTTGTATGTTTTTTTTTAAACTCCTTTCAATAAGGCGTGACCTGCGGGCGGCCCCGAGTGTAGAGCCGGAGGGCGGGAACGGGGCCCGGGGACATGTTACTATGTGTTTGTTTACTTCTAGACGATCCAGACACGCTATCAATCAGCCACAGGGACCTCTTCACTTTAAAGGGACACTGTCATTATGTCTTAACATTCAATACTTGTTTTCTTTTTGTTATTTTACATTTATAAACATTTTTGGAATGTTTTTTATACATAAATATTAAACCTCAACATGTCTGCCCCTCGCTTTAACCCTTTCGCTGCCAAGGCGTTTTTGTACACACGTTATAATCCACATTTTAGGCCTGAAAATGACTTACAACCCCCCGAGAATTATATATTTCCTGAAATCACAGACCATGGAGAATCAAATGGCGGCAGTTGCAAATTTGTATGTCGTATCATATTAGCGCAACGCTTTATCAAACCCCAAATTTCAGTAAAAAATACACTTAGGTTAATTTTATTGCATAAACACACATATAATACCCAAATGTTTGTAAAATATAAAAGATGAGGTTACACCGAGTAAACAGATACCCAACATGCCAAGCTTACAAATTGCCTGGGCCCATGAAACTGTGACAAAATACGTTGCCCCAAATTGTCCATAGGCGATGCTTTAAAAACCCGCACAGGTCTTCAGTAGGGATGCACCGATGCTGATACTGGTATCGGTGCCGATACTGAGCATTTGGGCGAGTACTCGTACTTCCGGTCAAAGGGACATTCCCTCTGACCGGCAGTGCCACGAGGGAGCATGGAGCCAGCTTACCAGCCGATCAAGAAGCCGGGTGGCGGGTCATGACCTGCCTCCCAGCTTCCTGATGGGCTAGGAAGCCAGATTCACGCTGCCAAGCGACACTGCGAGGCAGTCTGGCTTCCTGACCAATCACAAAGCCAGTGGCATGTCATGACCCGCTTCTTGGGTTCCTGATTGGCACGAAAGTGGACTTCACACTGGGAAGTAGCCTGGCTTCCTGACCAATCAGAGTGCTTTTCACTCACCTCATAGTTCTAGCCGACCTGTGACAATGAGACTGTCACAGGTCGGCTCAGTAGATCGGGAAGTGAGCGAACACATACCGGCGTTTGCTCACTTCTCGATCCTGTCATGGCCCTCTGCCATGAAGTCCCCGCTCCGATCCTCCAGCGCTGACTGTCGGAACGGACGGGGGAGGGGGCGGGTACAGCTGACTCTGCCTCTAGATAGGCAGAGCCAGCTGTCACTCACGCAGCTGGGCGGATCCAGGCCCGGCGCTAGCGCAAGGCAAGTAAGGCGGGCGCCTTACGGCGCTGCAGGGTGAGGGCGGAAAAAACAGGGCATTTTGACAAGTACTCGCTATGTTTTTTTTTTTTTTACTTGCCTTCGGTGCGGGAGAGCAGCGGCGAGTCAGCGCTGGTCCAGTGGGAGGAGCTCCAGGTGGTGTCCTAATTTAGCTGGCCGGCGACTGCCTGACGATCCCGACACGCGCGGCACCTCAGGCAGTCGCCGGCCAGCTAAATTAGGACCCCACCTGGAGCTCCTCCCACTGGACCAGCGCTGACTTGCCGCTGCTCTCCGCACCGAAGGTAAGTGAAAAAAAAAAAAAACCATAGCGCAAACATCGGGGCATTTTGACAAGTACAATACTTGTCAAAATGCCCTGTTTTTACAGGGGGTGGGGGTCGGGATCGGGTGGGCGCAAAATTGCACCTTGCCCAGCTTGACTACAATCCTAGCACCGGCCCTGGGCGGATCCAGACATAATTGTCGGGATCCGATTCAGCGTCTCAGTATACCGCGAGCAGCAGCTCGCGACATACTGCGGCGTCTCAGTATACCGCGAGTTGTAGCTCCCGGTATACTGAGCTTAGGGTGATGGGAGGAGGGTAGTATGTGTCCTCCCGTTACCCTAAGGAGAACTATGGGGAAAAGCCCTAACCCCATAGTTCTCCTTTAACTAATGTATGTGAGATGATTTCATATGGAAATGAAGAGCTGCTCACTGATGTGATGTATAGTGAAAGGTCCGCTTTAACATGAATTTTACTCATCAACGCTTCCCCAATAAGCAGAGGATTTGTACTAATCACTATGGATACATTGTGCACGTCTTGTCTCTCTCTTGTTTCGGATTATAAAATCCTCCAATCAGGTCTCTTATTTCCTGTCACTTTGTTACATTGTAACACATACAAGGACTGACAGGTCTCCCGATCGCAGCAGCCGTATTGCCACGCCCACACAACCTCCACAAATCATCGGACTCATCCACAGCGAGGCTTGGCCCGCACGCATGGCGACTCGCAGAGGATGCCGGGAAGCGCGATGTCCGCTCTGCTTCTGCGGGTTTTCTCAGAGCTTGGCGGGTCGGCCGCGGTGTCCTCGGAGCCCATGTGTGTGAATACGGCAGGCTGTGGCCCCCAGGGGAGTCCGGTGCTGTTGCTGGGTCCCACGGGCTCCCAGAAGAGCGGCCTGTTGTTTGTGGCGGCGGTTCTGGCGGCAGAGGAGGGAGCGGGGCCAGTGATCTTCCTGTCCCGGGAGCCGGTGCAGGAAATGCCCAGAGGAGGGAGGGCGGCCCGGGAGCCCCTCATCCTCAAGGTGCACACCGGGGCCCAGCCTGGGCTTCATATGTCTTCCTGTTTATCACTGTTTCCATAGCAACGCCTCTCCATCATGACATGGGGGCCTGTATACAAGTCTCCCTGTGACTGCTGAGAGCCTTGTGGGGGGGGTCAGCTCGGGGTTAGAGGATAACAGGACAGGATATCTACCTGTGTATGTATACCCACACCCGAACAACCCCACCACCAAAGTGTATACTGGCCTGTCCATGGTCCTGCCAGATCCGCATGGTGCGGCCCACGCTGCGAATCCTCCCGGACGATCCCTCGCTTCTTCTGAATGTGCGCAAAGAAGATCCCTTCATTCCTATTGGCCGGCTGTCTATTTTGTCTTCCAGTAGTAGATGGCCTCTCCACAGGAATGAATGGGATTTTCTTTGCACATCCCCAGAAGAAGGGAGGGATCTGTGAATTTTTTGGCGGTGGCTGAGTGGGCCACGCAATACAGATCTCACAGCTTTTATTAATGTGTGGGGTGGTGAGAGCCCCAGAAGCTTTAGTATGCAAAGCTTAGCACACTATGGCAGACAGCGTGATCCCCTCCAGCATTGCACCCCTTCCGGTGTGGTCATCTTTGCCCCCCCACCAGTTTTGAGTCTTTAACTCCTTAATTGGCCAGGCCCAAATGACATAACACCCGTGCATGCACTTGTCAATCTTGACATACTAAGGTGTGCATGCGCTCTAAAGATATTCTGGTGATCCTGATCCATGAAGTTCATATCCAGTCACTTCCTGTTATAAGGTGACAACTGTCTCCCAGTTGTGCTCGTCACATGTGCTCCTGGAGAAGTCTGAAAGTGCCAAGCTGGAACACATTGTGCATGCTTAGTCCACCTTGCTCAGTAAAAGGGAGCTGGTCCAGAGCGATGATGTCCAGCTGATGCTGGAGAGAGAGCGCATGTACACAGGAAGTGGCTTTATCAAAGGTAGACGAGACAGAATCTGGAGCAGTTGCCAATAGTAACCAATCAGCATCTATATTCCGTTTGTTCAGTTATGCTTTGAAAATGAAAGAGAAAAGCTGATTGGTTGCCATGGACAACTGCTCCAGTTTTGATAAATTCCCATTATTTTTGAAAAAACTACAGCGATTGTTTATGATGCACACAAACGAAGGGGATGATTTACTAAAGGCAAACAGACTGTTCATCTTGCAAGGACATTTTTTTCTGAGCTTAGTGAATAAGCTGAAGCTCTGCTTACTTCCATCGTCCAATCGTGCAAGAAAAAATTGTTTTTTTTTTAAATTATCCTTGCACGTGATTGGGTATTCTTTGCACCCACATTCAATAAGCTCAGGGAAAATTCCCTTGAAATGTGAGCAGCCTATTTGCCTCTAGTAAATCAGCCCCTATCATGTCACTTAGTTTGGGTTTCGATGTCATTAATAACATGATCAGAAGGGGGGATGTAGTGTAAATATATGAGAAGTGACTGAATATATATCATTTGATGGTTTTAGCGGTATGTCTATGTTGGTTATTAACCAATCACATCTTTATTTTTGTAGAAAATCCGCTTCATGTACCCGTCATCCCTGAAGGATCTGCTCCATTTCTTCTCCTCCCTCCATGTGACGTCTCCATCCCCATCGCTGGTCCTGGTTGATGGTCTAGAGAGATACCTCCCGTCCGCTGGCAGCCTTACAGATGGAGCTCATATATCTGCTCTCATGCTGGACTCCATATCCCACCTCCACTGCGGCCTTCTAGTCTCGGCAGTGCCCGGCTCTGAAGGGTCGGATGCCTTCACGGCTGTAGAGAGATACTTTCCAAACCAATGCCGGCTCTGTCCTGTCATGTCAACGGAGACTGAGGAGAGACAGTATAAGGTCAGCTTCCTGTCTCCAGACCCGCAGTGGACTCTACATGTGGAGCAATATGGAGGGCTAAGAATCTCCTTAGAGGACAGATCACCCAAGACTAAAACTTAGGACAACACGTAGCTTGCAGCATTAAATTAAATTCCACTTTAAAGAAGAACTATGGGGTTCTCCTTAGGGTAACGGGAGGACACAAACTAGCGTCCTCCCATCACCCTAGGCTCAGTATAGCGCGAGCTGTAGCTCGCGCTATACTGAGACACCGCAGCTGAAGCGGATCCCGACAATTGTGCCCGGATCCGCCCAGCTGCGTGACTGACAGCTGGCTCTGCCTATCTAGAGGCAGAGCCAGCTGTACCCTCCCCCGTCCGTTCCGCCAGTCAGCTCTGGCGGAGGGGGGAATCCAGCCCCTCCCCTGTCACGGCAGAGAGGAACCCAGCCCCTCCCCTGTCACGGCAGAGAGCTGTGACAGGATCGAGAGGTGAGCGAACGCCGGTATGTGTTCGCTCACCTCCCGATCTACTGAGCCGACCTGTGACAGTCTCATTGTCACAGGTCGGCTAGAACTATGAGGTGAGTGAAAAGCACTCACCTCATAGTTCTTTAAAAAAAAAAGAATTTCCTCTCCAGGTCGGTTATATGAATTAAGGGATTTGAGCAAACCTGGTTGCAGGTTTACCTGCTGCTGTTCTTGGGCAACTTGGGACAGTAGATAGGCAGCGTGGACTCCCGGGCTGTGCTATTAGTTATCTATGTGGCAGCTTCCACACACCAGAGGATTCCAACAATTTCCTTGGGCATCACTAATGCCCAAGAGGACCAGGAAGTGGGGAAACAATAATTGTAAGTAAAAGCAAAATATGTTTAATGATTGTAAGATGATTTCGTATCGGCATTCGGAGCTGCACACTGAGGTGATTTTTAATGGAGGGGGTAAAGGTCCGCTTTAAAACATGCAGAGATCCAATCACATGACCAGGAAGTTCGGTTTCTGTGGATGTTCTGTACAATGTTGCCATTGTTAAGCCGGCCATACATTCCCATAATACCATCAGAGACATGATGAGCGTCGTGAGAAATTTCCTTTGATCTTAACATTCCATTTTGGAATAAGTTTACTGAATGAAAAAACTACATTCGCTGTCAGAAATTTGTTTGCTTGAGAAAAAATTTCCATCCAGCTCCTGCAATTTTTTTGACTGCGGTTAAAAAAAAAAGTCGATTCGACCCCCATTAACGATGAGAAAATTGAAGGAACGTTCCCAAAAAAACGTCTTCTGATGAAATTCTACTTGTGTATTGCCAACAGTACAGGAAGATACGTTTGATATTTTTTGGTGGTGAGACAGTCGGATGGCTGCACAAACCTTTAATAATAAGTTAGGAAATACCTTGTGTATCAGTTCTCTGCGATACGTCATCATTTTTTAGAATACAAATTGAGAATTCATTTTCAGGTGCATACCCGCGCGATCCGGGACGCGTGTCTCGGGACCATGTGATCGTCTGCAGTTGCACACAGCGGTTGCCTGGCGGGCCCATTGTTTAAATGGGGTTATATCCGCGCTGCAATCGCTGAAAAAAAGGTACATGCATCTTTTTTTTGCGGCACACAACACGTGTTCGATTGCATTGGCGGCAAATTGCACGATCCGTGTGATTGGGTGCCATTAGAAAAGAATGGCACCGCCAGCACAATCAGTGGGGGTGTGCGACTCTGTGACTGAGCGGCAATCCGCGCAGTCACGGATCGCGCAAGTGTGAACGTGGCCTAAGATTTCTAAAGGAAAAAAAAACATGAATGAAATGTCAATATTGTTACATTGTTTTTCTACAGTAAACATATTTTATATTGCTCTGTGCCATTTGTATCATTACAGCATTTTTGGATTAATAAAAGCTACTTGCATGGAAGGATTAGAATTGTAAAATATTTAAGTGTTCGGCCCCTTTCACACGGGTGGCCTGAAAAAACGACAACCAGATGCCCAATGCAAATCTATGGGCACTTCCACCCTTGGCCAGTAAAGCAGCCCATCATAGTAATGAGCCAATTGGAATGTGTGGGAAGGAGAAGTATTACCTTTTAGAACCTGAAACCTCTTCTGTATACAGAAAGTCCCCCACTCACACTGCCACTAGGAACTTGACTTCAGAATTCAGCCCCGGCCATCCGCACTCCCGCCATTCGATGAGACTGCACCGGGTTCAGGAATATTCTAGGAGACTTTACAAGAAGAGTCTTACCATGACGACTGGAAACAACGGGTGGTTATTAACATTAACAACAGGAAGATTGCCAAATACTTTTTTTTAACTATAACCACGTTCATTATAAAAAAATGTTTTATGCCTTTTTTGTAACTTTTGTTCTTCAGTCATGTGACCGCAGCACCGTTATTCCTGTCCCTCTTCTCTGTAGCACGGAGCTCTTTGTATTTCTAAAGTTTTGTCAGCGAGGCTCCTGCTCAGGATTGCTGTCAATTGGTAGGCATGGAGACAAAGCTGACTACGGGAGGTACACGGTACATTGGCACGGCACCTTGTATCTGCAAGCCAAGGGATGCAAACTGTGCCTGCACAGATCTGATTCCGTGCTTGGCTTTTCCAGATTGAAGAAGGAAACGGGAGCTGGCAGGATCACCAGATATTTGAGAGTACGTGAAACATTTTGGGGTTCTTGGGGTTTTCATGAGCTGTAAGCCATAATCATCACAATTATGACAAATCACGGCTTGAATTATCTTGCTTTGCATGTAATGAGTCTCTCTCATATATTAGTTTCACCTTTTAAGTTGCATTAGTGAAATAAATGAACTTTGCACGATATTCTAATTATTCGAGTTTCACCTGTATATGGTATCATTTCTTTGTACGAGCTTCCACAGAAGGCCGCCTCCCTTTCTCTTATTCATGAGTACTTGCAATGAAATCGTCATACTGACATGAGATAGATAACAACAAGGTCAAGCTGCAGTTTCTAAAGTAATTAAAATACACTGCCCAGCCAAGAAAAAGTCACCACCTGGATTTCGGCAATGTTATGATCTGGGGTTGCTTCAGTAGGTTAGGCCTAGGTTCAGCAATGTTATATCCCTAAAAAATGAGGTCAGCTGCCGACCTGAACATACTGAATGACCAGATTTTTCCATCAATGATGGCACATTGGGCATATTCCAAGATGACAATGCCAGGATTAATTGGGCTCAGATTGTGAAAGAGTGGTTCAGGGAGCATGAGACATCATTGTAACACATGGATTGGCCACCACAGAGTCCAGACCTTAACCCCATTGAGAGTCTTTATGATGTGCTGGAGAAGACTTTACACACAGGTTCGACTCTCCCATCATCACTACAAGATCTTGGTGAAAAATTAATACAACTCTGGAGGGAAATAAATGTTGTGACATTGCATAGGCTTATGGAAACAATGCCACGGCAAATGCGTGTCATTATTTAAGCTAAAGGAGGACAAACTGAATATTCTTTGGCAGGGCGGTGTACTTTCTTACATTAAAAGAGGTCTAGACTCCAGAGAGAGAGAGAGACATAATCTGCCCCTCCCCCCCC